GTGTGTGTGTGTGTGTGTGTGTGTGTGTGTGTGTGTGTGTTGTCAGGGAATCCTCAAGCAGTCAAAGCTGCGGTCCATCAGTAAATCAGACACTGAGATGAACAAGACGAACTGCAACGGCAAAAGTGAGTGCATCCTTCACATATAAATCCTGAAAAGTTCTGTAAAAATGTACCTGATTGTTCCCGAGGAGAAACCCTGAACCACCAAAAATCTATTTATTAAAGCCGTAAAAACTGGTCTTTTTTTTTTTTCATTTTGCTGCATGGCAAAATAATTCTAGCAATACTGAAGAGGATTCTTCTTATTTTTAAAAAAATTGAAACCATGAAAATCGCTGAAGTTTGAAGGTTTTTACTCGACTCTTACCTGAGATCTAATCTGGCGCTAAATTCTCTCCAAATTCTCTGTACGGCAAAACCCGAGGAAACACCCTAAAACAGAATTCACATCACATTTTACAGTTTAGCGTGATTCTGCTCGGCTGGAGAAGACGTGAGCCACGAAAATCTCTCTGCCTCTCAAAGGAAGTAATAAAAAAGCCAAGATGAATCCTGGAGCTCCTCGCTGCCAGCCACCAGGGAGCTGTTTGTGGGCGCTGTGACYGCAACCCGAGAGGTTCTGAAGACATATAAACATATGTCCTGCTTCAGACTTGTCCTGCTCCCGCTGCAGTGCTACCAAGCCAGTTTGGATCCACAAACTCAGACGCCTACATTGGTTCCAGCTTTACTCGTTTTCAGTGGACTGAAGAGAAATTGGTTTAAATCCTCCAGTTCAGGAGGAGAGAACCGATGAGTTGAGTCTTACTGAGAAGCTAGTTGGTGACTTAAAATGAGAAAAAAAAATGCAGATTTTTCTTGCAACCACAGAGCTGTTCACAACCTGCAACACTGCATTTTAGGCCATGCACATTATTTAGTCACCCACCTTCACACATAGAACTCACCTTGAAAGACACGCCCACATTTAGGATTTAATCTACCGGAGTACACTTTTTAAATGAAGACAGGTGGAGTCGGCTAGTTTTTATATTTATTTATCACTGATATGATGTATGGACATTCAGGGCAGGAGTCTCAGATGTTCTTTTGTAACAAGAAAGGTCCGGGCGGTCCCCAGAAAATGTTTAAAAAGAAGAGCCAGATGAGTTAATGTTAGGGTGGCACACCAAAAGAGTCATTAGAATTTCAGGAGTTTTATTGTGTTGTCATATCTGCAGTGTGGGAGTTTGGAAAAATCTTTTTGCTTTAGAGTTAGAGTTAATATTAGTAACTCGGATCAGCACGGTCACTAAACTCATAGCTTGTCTCCTCTCCTAAACTCATATTTAGAAATGCATCCTTGAAATCCTGCTTTCAGCTTTTTTATACTGAACTTTAAAACTAGTTTCTCACAAGGTCTGTTAGTTCTCAGAGTAAAGACTCCCAGCTAAAGTACCACACCACATTTTTAGGTCCTTTTCATCAAAAATGATGGGAAAAAATGGAGAAAAGGAGTTGTAGCCTGCATGGGCGTAACCACCATAGATACAGGGTGGGAC